GTTTTCTTCTGTAGATAATGAGAAACCATTTAAGTGTTTTAACCAGAGAAAAATAACATCAGATGTCTCTATATTCAACTCTAACTTGAGAAACTGATTGTAAAAGGACTAGTGATGTGTGTAGCCTCAGTTAGAGGGCTATTCTAGTTGTCTAGACTTATATTTGTAATAGTTTGCAATATAAACACTGAGCAAACAGGATCAGCAAAGTTTAAAAGAAAGGGGTGTATAAGCATTGCATCATAAAGCTAGGGGATATCATCTCAAAAGTCAAAAACCAACCAGAGGTCAAGCAGGATATTTATTGCCTAAACCATATGAGCCACCATGGTGTTTTATCTTGCCATTCCTCTTCTCAGAAACACAATGGGAAGTTTCCCATGTCCCCTAAGACTGTCTACCCTCCTTGTTACGGTATTCAAGGCTGTGCTCTCATCTCTATATTTCTTTTCGCATTATATGCACAGAGGATACTGGATTGACCTGATCAAATAAGCCCAGAAATTTTATTGCTTGTTTCGGAAAGTACTGCTCAAACAGGGCATAATTCCTCCATCAAAACTTGTCTTATTGTTGTAAGTCTTAGCCCAAATACCAACTCCTCCATAGTCCCACCTAGTCTTTCTCTCTCAAATTTAAAAAATGAAAAATGGATAAAGAATGAGAGCAAGAGAGCATAAGCAGGGGGGAGGAACAGAGGGAGAGGGAGAAGCAGACTCCCCACTGAGTGGGAGCCTGACATGGGGCTCTATCCCAGGACCCGGGATCATGACCTGAGCCAAAGGCAGACACTTGAGTCACCCAGGTGGCCCCATTTCTCCTTCTTGCATGCTTTAAGGACATGCTCTTAGCTTTGCATTTAGGTAATTACTTCAGTGTGGTTTTATGCATAGTACAGTGGTTTTCATATTGTCTCCTCACTAGAAACCTTTTGAGATCAAACAATGTTAACAGGCCAGGTAATCAAAGATTTTAGTAACCAGTAAATATTGAGTTAAAATGATTCATTTCATGTCCATATGATGACAAAATCTAGGTTAATGAGTTTCTGTAGAAAAATTTGATAATTAGTTTAATAAATGCTCAACCATTTTTTAAAGATTTATTTAGAGAGTGTGAACAGGACGGGGAGGGGAAAGGAGAGAAAATCTCAGACTCCATGCTGAGTGCTGAGCCCCACTTGGGACTAGTGTCCCAACCCTGATATCACAACCTGAGCCAAAATGAAGAATCGGATGTCCAACTGACTATGCCACCCAGATGCTCCCTCAACCATGTTTTAAATATATGTGATAAGCTTGAGATATTGACAGGTCAAACTTATGAGAGTGCATAAAATTCTTTATTTAGAACAATAAAGTATATGTATATATAATGTAATTTCAAATTCAAACCTGTATAAAAAAGGGTCAGGACATATACCTAGTTTAAAAAGTACACATATAGTATATACACATACACATCACATTTTACAACTTTTTATTTAATTACACTTCAGTCATAATAAACTAGAATAGTGTTGACATACATTTACATTACAATATGCAAACTCCAATCTATGACTGAACTAGCAATATATCTATGCATCCATCTAAATGTTTGAATACTTTTCAAGTCCATCAATTTAAAAAATAGTGACAAGTGGACACTATAATCACACATTAATCCTTAGAATATAGGATATTTTTCTTGAAAAATTTTGAGTCTTACAGTTGAGAAATCAAGTAATTGAAAATACTATATTTTTAGTTTAAAGAATTATCTTAATTTTATTTTTAAAAATAACATCATAAGGATGTAGTGGAGATGGCAGTTATAAATTTACAATGCTTAGGAAACATTTTAGGATTATGAATATCCCCTTTAATAGAAATTGCTTCTAAAACATCTTGTTAGGAAATGAAAGTACCATTATTTTACCTGTAACAAAGGCATTTCCAGACCTGTTAATAGAAGCAACAATACCAGAAAGTGTTATCAAACACCATAAATTACTAGTTTCAATCTGAATGTTTTTTTTTGTTTTTGTTTTTGTTTTTTTTTTTTTTTTTTTTTTACAAAATAATACTGTTTCAAAGACAAGCTGGCTTAATTAAAATTCTTATCCCACTTTCTAATTTTAAGATGTAATTTATGGATGACCCCTTTCCAAATGGATTATAAATTATCTTTTGGCACTCAAAAACTTTGAACATCTTACATTTTGTGCTCTAAGCTTTTAATAAAATAAAAGCATTTAAATGCTTAATTTGGTGCACTTCCAAATGTTACACATATCTTATAGTATCTTTTCCTAAAATGTACTCATGGTTTTCATTCTTCAGAGGCGATCCAAAAATGTTTACTTAAGCAAAGGAAAAAGCCATCTCTTGTGTAAATGGTTATCCAATTCACCCTACATGAGATTGAATTTTACTTTTACTAATGGATCCTATTTACATTACAAACAAGAACAGCAATGACTTTTTATGTTCAAATTGCTTATTCACAAAAATCAGAGTAGAATATTTTATGTGGAGTAATTTCAGATCTATTTTATTGTCTTTGTCAGTCATATAACAATAGGGTTCACACCCAAGATGTGACCTCCAACTTCACCATATAAATAAAAAACCTAGATCCAAAGAGGTGACTTACCAATATCATTTAACGGCAGAGTGGAGGCTTCTGACAATTTCCCCCACATCCATCTCACTATGCCAAACTGGTTTTTTGAATAATATTTCTTAAAGAATAGGTGAGAATGGCTAAATGTCTCATATTGGAATTACATTTTGAAACCAAAACCGAGCTGCGGAAAGACAGTAAGAGATATCCATGAATTCTGAATGGAATTTTCTGTTAATTTCAAACTTCAGTTGAATTAAGATACCTAAAATATGCCCAGAATTTCCCCCAAACTACTTTAATACTCAATTAATTAAATGTGTTTAATTCTTATTAAAAGCAAACACCTTTAGTAAGCCTTATAAACATACTTTCTCATATATTTTCATTCTTCACATACTTAATCCTTTTAAGAGAATAGGGGGCTTATTCTGTTATCATATTGAAAAAACTGAATTTGTCTTATTAAAAAGTGGCAGTGTGGTAAGCACGTAAGATCATTATACAAAATCCAGCAACACTCCAATATCACTGAGCAGGCACCGTTTATCACAGAACCAGAGAACCAGTTTCTTTATAGGCTTGTGTTCTACCAAAGAAAGAAGTGCAAAGCTTTTAGTAAAATTTAGAATCTGCAGACTTCTGAGATCATTTTAAAAGGCAATTCTGAAATGTTACAGAAGATAACTATCAGATACATGATACCAATTTAAAAGGTGATTTCATGGTTTATAATATCAGTTGTGAATTTTCCATGATGTCTGAAGTATATTCAGTACACGTAATGGATAAAATAAAGATATATATATATATTTCAGAGCAGATATGACAATTCCCAAGCAGCAAGCATCCAAAATAACGTTCAGCCTTTTTCTACTGTTCATGTATTTTATCGAACTTTAGTGTCTTAAATTGGTAATTCACATAACTCTCAATGAGCCAATATGTTTAATTAGGCACAATATATTGCCCCTCGCTTAACCATGCCATATTTTATAACTTGATGAATTTGTTTATTTAAGTCTATTGATTAGGACCATGCCCTTGAGTGGTAAAACCCAGCTCCTAGCTTTGAGAACAAAAGTGCATTTATTGTACTCTCAAGCTCATTAAATAGCATTTTCTCCTCCCGAAGGAAATCGAAACCACTGTTGAAATAAATCAAAACCATTACATTGACCAGTATCAATCTTCCCAACCTACGTCGGACCTACACACGTAGCTCATACTAATTTATATCTATTTTCCTCAAAACAATCTATGTCACACACCGAGACAGGTCCTTTCAGCAATTAAACTGATCTCTGGTTTTATTACTAATCGATTATACCAGGGGATGGTTAAGGGCCTGAATAAGTCAATGCAGCTTCCCAAAGCACCTGGGTTGTATCTTCGAGAAATGACTATCTCATGAGGAACCCCAGCACTTTAGAGAAGGAAGGGCTCAGAGAAATCCTCTGGGCTCTTTGGTACAAGAAAGAGCAAAGGCCACTTCACTGGAGTTGTATCTGGATCTGCTTTGAATATGATCTAAAATCCAACTTGGCCAGAAATTCTTGTACTTTTGAAATCAAAGGAAAGCTCACAGCTTTTCATGCCCTTTTGTATCACTACACTGAAAATGGTTGAGGGTAGAACGTGACAATAATATCACAAGAATGAAGTTATGATAGAAAACTTTGGATTCCTTAATGTGTATGTTCATGATCTATTAAAAGAGTCTTCATCAAAATGAACCACAAGAAATCACTTTAGTCAGATGTTCCTTTGACTATAAAAAAAAATGGTACTGGAAATTCACATACTGTCTTAAGTTTTAGTTTTATAAGCATGATGTCCATCTTGGGAATTCTTACCAAGTCACTCTCAATATGACAAACGCTGTCACACATTTTAAATAGCAAACTGACATGCATAACTACATAAAGCTCGCTATTTTTAATTCATAAACATTAATGAATATACAGTGCCTAATTTTAAATAAATGGATCCTTTAAACTGATAATGGTGATTATACAAGAAATAACTAAAGTTGCCTGATTCCTTGCCTTCTTATAAAAGCCAAGTAGCCTAGTTTTCAATACCCATGATACCATGTGGATATGGTTTTCTGAGATACTAAATATAATTTTTACTTTCTTTCATGGTGTAAATTGAAAATGGGACCTTCATACATTCTACAATTTTCCTAAAGTCCCTTTACATAACTCTGTAATAGTTTCAGAATATAAACATTTCATAATATATTTTGCAAGCACAATTTCTACACTCTTCTAGAGGTAGGGGGGAAAGGGTGCCGAATGTGTTCCTCAGTGAATGTCCTTCTGTTCATTGTTCATAGCTTCTTCAAGCCGTCTTTTAGAAAGTCTCCTCTCTCCACAGGCATCGATGTATTTTAGGGGGAGTGGTAGGGTTTTTTTTTTTTTTTTGAATGTTTTTCTTCAACTTAAACTAAAAACAAAAAACCCAGTTCATTCATTTCTCCCCCCACCCCATCCCTTGTAACTAGCAATCTGTCCTTTGTATCTATCAGCTCGGTATTTTTAATTTACTTTTCTAGATTTCACATATAAGTGAGATCATATAATATCTGTTGTTCTGACTTACTTCACTTAGCATAATGCCCTCAAGATCCATCCACGTTGTCACAAATTGTAAGATTTCATCTTTAGAGCTGAACAATCCTGTGTGTGTACACACATATTTATCCATGTATCCATTGGTGGACTTACATTGTTTCCTTATCTTGGTTATTGTAAATAATAACCCAAGGAACATAGGGGTTTATTTATCTTTTAGAATTAAGTGTTGTTTTCATTTTCCTTGGATAAATACCCAGAAGGGGAATTGCTAGATAATACAGCAATTCTATTTTAAATTTTTTGAGGAACCCCAAAATTTTTCATAGTGACTGCATCAATATACATTCCCACCAATAGTGCACAAGGGTTCCCCTCTCTCCACATCCTAATAATTTTCATCTTTTTGATAATAGCCATTCTGAAGGTATGAGGGGATATCTCATTGTGGTTTTGATTTGCTCTGGTGACTGATGTTGAGTATCTTTTCATTTATCTGTTGGCCATATGTAGGTCTTCTTTGGAAAAATGTCTATTCAGATCTTCTGCCCATTTTTTCATTAGATTTTCTTGCTATTGAGTTGTAGGAGTTCTTTGTAGATTTTAGGTATTAGCCCCTTTTCAGATGTATGATTTGCAATTACTTTCTCCCATTCAGTAGGTGTTTATTTTTTATTTTTCATTTTTTTATTTTGTTGATGGCATCACTGTTCTAATTCAGTACTGGCTCCCAGACATGGATAGATCCAGCTAACCATGTCCATTTGTCTAGTGGGATGTAGGTTTATGCTGAGAAGAGACTGAGATCAGACCCAGACCATTAGCATCTACAAGGCTGACATGCTGCCTACTCCAATCATTTTGTTTCCACTGCTTTCTACATGTAGAGTTGTTGATGCTATCATTTGTTTTTAAATGTTTTTCCAGATCCCTTTAAGAAAAATTATTACCTCTCCACTATTCAGGATAAAATCTACTTGCAGAGACCAAGATAACTATGAACCACAGGTTGTAACTGAAAATAAAGCTATGTGGCTTTTCAGCAATTAGACACTTCTGGAGGCATACAAAATGGTGCATGCAGTCTGGGACGCGTGTTTTCTCTCCCAACATCGGTTGCAAGTTCTAAATGAGACCACAAGTCCCCCAGGTCCTTAAAATAGAGTCCTGCTCCATGCAAGTTCTTCTTTATAGATGATTAATTCAGTGCCAGTTTCACAGTAAAACACTTTGTTCCAATTTGTGAATCATCCATATAGAGTCATGGGTAGCAAGAACAGATAAAAATGCAGTCTGCACTCCAGACAGAATATGAATTTGTTTAAAGCTGCTTCATTTATGAAGCAAACATGAACTGTTACCCGCCTAGAGAGGAAAGAAAAGAGAGAGGTTAGAGTGTATCTGCCTTTTCATTCTCAATAGCTGAATTCATAGAACTACAGATTGAGTAATAGACTAAAATAAATGCTTCACTTACACAGCCGAAAGAATTTGACAAATCTTTTCCTAGATGCAATGACTAGTCACTCTCTGTGATCTTCCTGGTAACACTTAACATTATCTGAAATGATCTTACTGTTTGGTTTTCTCCTCCCATTTGAATGTAAGCTTCATGAGGACACAGAACTTTGTCTTTTTTTTTTCTTCAAGATTTTATTTATTTGAAAGAGAGAGTGAGACAGAGTGAGCAAGAGGAGGGGGGAAAGGGAGAGGGGAGAAGCAGACTCCTCGCTGAGCAGGGAGCCCTACACGGAGCTCCATCCCAGGACCCTGGGATCACGACCTGAGCCAAAGGCAGACACTTAACCAACTGAGCCACCCAGGTGCTCCATTTGTCTATCTTTTTTGCTGCTGTACTCCAAAAACCTAGAACGGTGCCTGACACAAAGGACATACTCAGTAAATATTCCTTGAACATAAGGATGGATGAAGGAACACCTGGTGGCTTTCACACCCGTTTGCATACCACAGATGGTTTCCATTTGTGGTAAGAGGGTTATCTTGTAGCCCTGAATTTCTCTAACCAGGCTATGAAAAGGTAGTAGGTAAGGGGAGAGGTTTTTAAAGGACAAAGGCAGTGTCTAGAGAGAAAAAGAGTAGCATGAAGGAGGTATCCAGTGAAGTGCCAGAGACCATCAACAAATAGCCTTCTGGACACTGAGCAATGCCAGTGTCTTGACTGCCTAGCTAGGTTCAAGCCACTGCTTCTCCTAACAGGAATAGGAGCAGCAAGATCTCTTTCAATGCTGCCAGCCAAGAAAAAAAAGACAAATCCTGGCACCACATCCTAACAAAGCCTCTGTGGAGGTTCATTTGGCCTACCACAGCTTATACTTGTTGAAACGTGAAAGCCAGACATTGTTTCAGTTCTTCAGAGCTGGTGTTCATCCACTGAACTTTGGACTCCGCTTTGAGATTTTCAACTTTTGAGTCAAGTATCTGTACTTCCTTAACTTTTTTTTCAGTCACAATCCCTAAATAAATGTATCTATTACTTTTTCTTCCCTACTCAATACTTTCTCCTTGTCATTACCTACCAATTCCAGAATCTCGCTTTTTAAATATTTGAGATCAGTGCAAAGGTTAAATATAAATTGTATACAATTCCATAGTATAAGTGGTAAGAAGTGCAGTATTTTTTCCAGTCTCTGTAAATGAATATGCTAAAAACCATGTTATATGACAATTTACCAAGCAGAGAACTCTAGAAACTAGAGAACCTGCATCTGGGAAAGGAGAATTAAATCCTGAGAAAAAAAATAAGAAACATTAAGAAAACTTCATAAATCCAAAATATATAGATGTTTTAAAATAAAGCTTGATTAAAAAAAGCAAAAGGAAATCACACAAAAGGCAAAAGGATATATTTTTTAAAAAGTTAGGAATAGCTTAAAATTCTAAACTTAAGTAGAGAAGCAAGATTGGAAATCTATTTCTAGTTTTGTCCCCAGGTCTCTTAGCAAAGAAAATAAACTTGAAGATTTCACAACTGTGTTCCCATAGAACAAAAACTACAATTTTTATAATGATACCCTGGATCCTAGCAATCTCATGAAATGGGCAGAGTAAGTTGTATTATTCCCCTTACTATCTTTGAAAAACCAGGAGTTAAAAGACAACTGACTCATCCAAGAACATACAGCTTATCGAGTTCCAGAGCCAAGGCCTGGACTCAAGTCTAATCCCTTCTTATCCTCTCTCTGTATTATAATGTGTATACAGAAGGAACTCAAAAACAAATCCTCTGAAGCTCCAGAAATTCTTAGGAAATATCCAATAAAGAGTCACAGATCTTGCCAAGTTCTGTATGTGCTAAATGGCCAAACTTGTCTCAAAGTCATCCATGTTCCAACTCTAAGATCTATTATCTCTTGGCTCAGATCTGCAGGAAATGTCCAGGTTGTGTTTCTTTTATGAATCTCTCCACCAGCCTAGTTGTAATAAGAATTACTTTCAACACTTACCATGCTGGGATGTGTCACTAAACACTGCTGTCCTAGTGTCTACCAATTCATGCTACTTCTTATTGTCAGCCAAACTGGGCCTTCTCAGTGGTGATGCAGTCCTTCTCCTGAGGCCTCAATTAAAATTCTTTGTAGTTGACTCCCAAATCCCAAATCTATTATTTTCAACCATGACTGTTCTTTGAATTTCCAGTCTAACATATCTGGCCACTGGTCAGTATTTACTAACAGCTCATTTTCTTTTAATGGTATTGTCACCTCGTTAGTCCTATAGGTTCCAAATCATCCTTGAGTACTACTTGTGATGTCAAGTTTCACATCTCCCCAGTAATTAGAATGTGTGGATTCTTTTACTGCATATCTCCAAAGTCGTTCATGCTTTCTTATTTCCATGGCCCTCATCCTGATTCAGGTCATCAGTCTCTCATCTGTTTGGAAGAATATCTGGTGGACTCCCTGACTCCGGTTCACTGCTCCCCACCCATCTGGTCTGGCTGCACCAACATCTCATTACAGCTTTTATTGTATCACTCACATTTTTTTTAATGATTTATTTATTTATTTATTCATGAGAGACAGAGAGAGAAAAGCAGGCTCCATGCAAGGAGCCTGATGTGGGACTCGATCCCAGATCCTGGGATCACGCCCTGAGCCAAAGGCAGATGCTCAACCACTGAGCCACCGAGGCGTCCCACTCCTATCTTTTCTAAGCCCTCCAACAACTCCTTCCATTACTCAATACGGTCCACGTCCTGTACTTGGAATATTTCAAACCTATGCCGACATTCTTGTTTCTCAGCCCTTTAACTTCTCATTGTGTGGCCTTCCCCTGGAGTCCAACTGTACAAATGAACTTTTGAACACACTCCCTGCACTTCTGGCTTCCCTGACTCAGTTTATGGCATTTGCAGTATCTGGATCACCCCTTCCCTATTACTATTAAAATTTTATCAATCATCCGAGGTCAAGCTCGGTATAAACTCCACCACCATCACCTATGAAATGAAGCCTTTCTCTTATTGCTGATTTCTCTCTCCCTTCCGATAAGGCAACTGTATATGGGTGCACATGGTATAGTTCAAAGAGGTCCATCCATACCACACTTATGTTGAGGACATATCCTGTACAACCTTATGCAGTGATCTTACCTTCAATCTCTTTGCATTTTCCTTGTAAGCTCCTTTTATTGCTTTTTTAACTTCATAAACTTCTAGTTTCCTTTTAAAAATAGGTTATATTCATATATCTTACTTCCTTTGGTAGGCTATAAGCAATTTGAGGACACAACTAGGTTATACTAAGCTCTGCATCCAACAATGTACTTAGTAGAGTGTGTTGGAATCATTTGTGGGAAATGAACAAAGAACACAATTTTCCTATATTCTTTTCTTTCTTCTCAAACTGCTACACACAAGCTAATATATGAAAAATTCTTGTGGGATGTCACCTATGTATATTTGGCATCAGCTTGTTGGATTAAATTTTTTGTGTAGATATTTTCATGTTTGGTGTCAAACACAACTTTAGTATATTTTGTCTTAGAGCCAGTTTCTTTTGTTCCTAGCTCATTACCTTATAATCCTTCTATTTTCTTTCTTTGTTTTTAAAGTATCAAACCTTCCACCTCTTCATTTTCCATTATAGGTTATTTTTATTTGAAGAACTATTCCATTTTTTATTCTAGTATTCCAATATTTGTCCTAATTTGTTTTAGTTGGTGAAACTTCCACTTTAGGGAGTAATTGTTGCCATAAAGCTGCATCATTCCCTGTACTTTCCCCTTTCTTATTAACCAAGAAAATGGCTATAACCCAAATTATATCTAATTTTTAAAATATATAATAACAATTGCACATTATATTTCTGTCTTGGGACTTTTTAGTACTGTTTTATTTCTTGGCAAATTTCTTCTCCTACCACATCATATTCTGTTCTCCTAAACCTCTTCTTTCACCACAATCCTCTCCACAAATCATACTTCAAGTTTCTGGGAAGATTTTAAACATCTGTTGGTATAGGGACAAGCAAAAGACTTTACACAACTGAGTATTCAGGAAATGATTACAAATGACACCTATACATTTTGACTTTGGGGTCTATGGATTCATGATGACAAGCTGGCTCTTTTGTCTTCCTTTTTCCTATACTTTCCATGTCTATTTTGCTTACATTTTCACAGTTTCTATTCTCACATTATTGCAGTTCTCGGAGGAGATTCTCATCCTCTTCTTTTTTTTCCCCCAGCAAATATTCATTCATCACTTGCATGCACAAAGTATTAGCTATATAGTTTAGTGGGATTCCAAAAAGAAATTCAGAAACAAATCCTGCCCTGTAAGAACTTATGGTTCAGCAGAGGACACAAAATGTCTATAAAAGTAACTGAAGTCCTATTAATGTGTATAACATGAGTATTACATGTCCTATGAAACATAACATGAAATATAATTAGAGGGACCAAAATTTGGGGAGTCAGCCTTTTGGAAGTGGTGGTATCTGAGCAGAGTCTTGAGAGCTTTGCAGACATGATGAATAAGGTAGGAGAATGCCACCATAGATTCCTTATCCATTTCACACCTACTACTCAATGTGTGAAGAGTTATTTCTAAACAATCCAGAACTTCTTTTAAAACCTAGTTTGATTCATTGTACATGAGAAACATTTCACATTTTAAGAAAAACAGTCATTTCCCATGACTGTATTTCCCCTTGCTATTGCCTCAAATCAGCAAATTACACATATACTACACTAAAAGTAAACCCTACTTCACTTTCTTAAAGATTTTTTAAAATTTATTTTATTGAGGTAAGAACTCTTAATGTGAGATGTACCCTCTTACCACATGTTTAAGTACACAATACAGCATTTAGTTAACTATGTTAACTAAAATAACATAATATTTTACATTCTGCATTACAGCAGGGTATCTAGAACTTTTTCATCTTGTAAACAAAAAAAAAAAAACCTATTTCAGAAGGACTGTCTTCCTTGCCAGTGGTTAACTTTCATTCAGGGTTTATTCACTCTGTTGCTCATTGAACAAACATTTAGCAAGAGTCTACAACACATAGGCAACAAGTGAGTTGCTCATGAAGGAGATAGAGCAAGAACCAGACCGGTCCCTGACTGCTGCCTGACTACATATAACTAAGTTATAAGTTGCTTGACTATGGTTGCTTTAAAATGCAGTTTTTTCTCTTAAACAGGTGCCTTGGGTTTTCCCATCATAATCCATTTTCCAAATGTCACAGGACAAATGCACAATTAAAAACCACATGATTAAAGACCTATGTGCCAAAACAGCATCCCAGCGATACAATCCAAAACCAAACAGAGGACATTACTTGAGACTTGATGACTCAATTAACCATATAAAATGTGGTTTGTGGATGTCTAGCTTAAGGGAGCTGAAATGGCTTAGAAGCAACAGTGAGGCTCATGCTGGGGTTGAATGGCAGAGAAACTATTTTTCCTAGAAACCTATGATTTCAGCTTGCAGAGTACGGCTCCAGAAAATAAAAAGTATCGAGTGAAAGGTCTATTTGTTAACATTATTTGACAGATAACATGAGCTTAGAGAGAAGGTGAGATAGTGAGCAGGAAAAAGAGAGCTATTTATGCTTTGGATATAGTGATCAAGGGCCTGATTAAAGGCCCAAATGAAGTCCCTGTAAGAGCAAGGTTAAAGTATTAGAAAAATATGTGACATAATTATTATATCACGTTACTTGGGGCTGTTGAAAAATGTTTTCCAACTATCAAAGTGAGCTCCTGGAGGAGTCTAAAAGTTCTCTGACTCAGCATCCCTGGGGAAGTTCCAATCTGGAGGTAAATTTCTGAATCTGGGACAAAAATGAAGCTGACAGGATAGTGACCTATAAAGAAAAGGCAAAGCTCACCACAGACCATATACCTCGTAACTCTGGAGAGTAAATGATCTTGTGACAAGGAGGAAGTGCAGGGAAATAGCTGAAGACCTAGGGAGATGAGAGGACTTTTTTTGTGTGTTCTACTGCAATAAATGTGCTTGAGATCCCATGGCCATGACAAAACTGGCAGCCAGTTAGCAGCAGAAGTGGAAATGAGAAGAGCATGAGCTGATGCTGGGTCAAGTTAGAGCTATTCTGGGGCCTGCCCCGACTCCGCCCCCACCCGCTAATCTGGGGCCCACAGCTCAGCCCGAGGAAGTAGACAGGAGAGGAAAGAGGAGCATTAGTGTCTCCTGGGAATAGTTCCTCCCTCTCCTTTCTCTCATAAGCCCTCCTAAGACACACACTATCACAACAGGTATCTGTTTCTGGTTTACGTTTACTGTGTCCTAGGCTTTGGCTTGCGATGAGGCACAAATTATCACCAGCCATGTGGCAGGTGGCACTTTACCTTGACACCTCTCTTCTCCTGATTTAGAAGATACTTTGATCACTTTCTATCATTTTATAAGAGTCACACCTAATTGAAATTGATTGTATTTATTCTTCCTCTATTATTTCATTTTAGTCCCTAGTTTGTTCTATTCCCTTGGTCTAATTTTTTCTCTGGCCTCAAAACAGTAAACAATCCACTATTAATTTTTTTGTATACCTCCCATACAAGATGAATCCACTCACTAATCAGGACTACTGCTCACTGCTTGCCTCTCAAAATGTAAGCACATACATAACTGAACTGTGCATGTCTAATTTACTGTAACAGCTTCAGTTAACCTACTGATATCAATTTAACCATTGGCTTAATAAATTTTGTTTTTAAATTTTGGCATCTGGGATGCCTGGGTGGCTAAGTGGTTGAGCATCTGCGTTTGGCTCAGGTCATGATCCTGATGTCCTGGGATCGAGGCTCCCTGCAGGGAGGCTGCGTCTCCCTCTGCCTATGTCTCTACCTCTCTCTGTGTGTCTCTCATGACTAAATAAAATAAAATAATAAATTAATTAATTAATTTTTGGCATCTAAGACACTGTACAGTTCTTGTTGAATCTTTCAGCTTGAATTCTAAAAACTTACCAAGGTACGAAAGTAACAGTGTTGATAGAAGCCACAATTACACCTCTTGAAACTCCCTCTCTTTCTCTTGCAACATACTGAAAAACAAGAAAAACGCTTATTGCTTTCGGACAGAGATTCTGTACAAAGCCCAGACACCACACCGTGATCTGGGCCTTATAAAAGGTAGTTTTTCTATAAATACAAAAGATGGCAAAATTGAGTAGAAAGTTTACCTTCATAAGCAATACTAAAGAGAATAAAATATCTGCCTCAATATAGTCTTTCTAAGTAGTGTAAAAATTCTCTCTACATATGCCTATACACATACCAAAAATGCCTACCTGTACTTGATATATATATATATATATATATATATATATATATATATATAGTATACACACACACATAGTATATATTCAAAGGCATGATAGAAGAGAAAGTAAAATGCCAAATGAAAACTATAACTGGAGGTAAATCAACATATTAGTACTGTGGCAGCATGGGGTAGGGTAAGGCGTGATCAGTGTCAGCTACAGTAGGTGGAATGGTAATTTTGTGTTTGGCTTTTGAGAAAATACTAGATAGGTTGAGAAAAGTTAAGGACTCTGAACACTAGCATGAAGTCAAATATATCAAGGATGTGAGAGAAAGTCACTGCAAGTATCCTGACTAGGAACTAACCTTATGAACTGGGGTTTAAGGAAGAATGTGGCAAGGGTATGGTTCAGAAGGGTGAAGGAAGAGCAAGATTCTGTGGAAGCTCAGCCAAGACATTATAAAGATATGGTTGAAGATGGTAACAATTGCCAAAGAGCTGAAAGACACAGAGAGGAGGAATCAGTATGTCCTGCTGGTAGCATGGAAGTGAAGGAGAATATGCAGATGGGCCTTCAGAGCTCTGTGACTGGGAGTCTAAGCAAGATTCTGCTTATAAAAAATGGAGCTGAGGTGACCATTACGGATACGTTAAGATGGGTCAAGAAGACATCACTGTGAAGGTATTTTCCAGGTAAGTGGAGATGTAGGAAGTGGGAGAGGTAGCAAATGTGGATAAAGACCATTGATATATGTTGGGAGCTGCCACAGAGAGCAAACAACTTCTTAAAGATGTGTAAGCATGTGCATGGTATGGGAAATGGAGACGTCAAGCTGACTTATGCACATATTTAGCAAAACAGAATACCTTATTTCATTATCCTCTTCATTAATCTGTATATTTTCAACTGTCCTTGTGAGATTTGGTTGTTTCTTCTGGGAAAAGAACAAGGATATATATTGTAAGAATATCAATGAATGGTATAATATTTAAGATCTTGATATTTTATACTTTTATATTTTATGTCAAGAACTCCAATATCAGGTTTTGTTTCCAGCATGTAAAATACTTTTGCAATAAAAATATGAAAAATGCACTGTATTATCAACTCAACATTTTTAGGGTGTTGGAGACAAAAAAGTAATAAAGAAACTGATATTTAAATAGTAATCGAATTCAAAAGACATTTCAAAAAGTTGACTCTCAATGATTTAGCACATTTTAAAATTTTAGCCAGGTCTCTGTAAGAAGAGAACACAAGAACAGAAATCCAAAATAGCAGATAATACAAATGGCATTTTATTTGGCTTGAAGCACATCATATGACTTGCAGTATATTTCTTCCTTTTTATATTTAGTTCAGGCAATTAAAACCAGTTCCCATTTCTTAAGTGTGCATTTTCAGTTAGAGGGGTTGTCTCCTAAGCATAAGGAATAACGGGAAAACATTAAGATTTAGAGTTTGGGGAGACTAAGTTAAAGTAGGATCTTTTCTCAGGAAATGGCAGTTTTTTAATCATATATATTAACCCTTACCTTCCAGTATAAGGCTCCAAAAGCAAACCCAATTACAAGAGAAAAGAATGCTGGCAATGCCATGGCTGCCCATTGTAAGTTGGAGTCTCCAATGGAATTTGAGGCCTTCCCTGTAATTAAAACAGTACAGTGGTGAACATAGCATATTCATGCTAGAGGTTTTGCTTTTATGCTGTGGTTGTCCCCAACTGTTTCCGTACTCATGACCTAGCTCTATTTAAAATATCTGAAACATAGATTTTTCTGCTGAGTATTGTTCTGGGTCAGCAACACAAGTCCATGTCATCTCCAAAACACATGAAGTTGAAAAATGAGACCCACAGAAGGACATCTGACTTGGTTGATGTTGACACATATGGAACACAGACAACATATTCCTAAAAATGATTTATGCTAGCAAGCAAATCCATCTTCTATGACTTTATCTTCTAGAACCTTTTTGCCTTCTCACTCTTCACACCTTGCCAAGAAATTTTAAAAAGGACATTTTGCAACCAGGATCAAGGTCAGTATGCATTAAGCTGTTTGGCTTGCTGCAAGTATTAAGTTATTAAATGTACTTTGTGGTTAGAGTATTTTTAGGTACCCCATACTCAGAGTCATGGCGTTTCCTCATCATATCTGCAGTATACATTTACTGGATGCCAGGACTGTGCTAAAGACTAAAGGTTTCATATTTCAGACCTTTTGTGTTGGAAATCCTGAGACCACAGAACACTAAAGAATGGCTAAAAGCACCAATGTCTTCTCATTGCTTACTCTAAGTAACAGTGAGAGAGTGAGAGAGAAAACATGTGAGAATAACTTGGGACACCTTTTTATCCTGCTTGGCTTTTCTGTGAGCAGCAGAATGATTTATGAATTCACCAAAACACATCTACAACAAGGGTCTCTTTTCTCTGTCTCCTTTTTTTTTTTCCTTTACTCTGTCTCCTTACAAGGAACAACTTGATTGATTGTTAGAGACAATGACACATATGCCTACTTGTATGAAAAGAACTGAAAATCTTCAGTTTTCTGTTGATGATGGAATACATTTAGAAATTATACACTTTCAGCAAGTATAGGATCAAAATGTAAACTAACCCAAGGTAAAGTGACGGTTTCGCAATATTTGGGTTACCGTGTCAGCCTACAGTCACCTATTTAACATATTAAGTACCTAGGTACATAATGTAAAAGAACCAAACCACTGTATGTGTATAAACATTTATAAGGAGAAAATGAACTTACAGATTTAACCTGAGAGGCAAGAAACAAATCTTATCTACTGCAGGGAGAACAGAAATTGCCCATTTCCCCACCATTTATAAAAATGGGAGCCAGAAATTCATTAATTCTAGGATTGCTGTTTCCAAAGGGCTCTAACAGGAAGCTGGTGTGTGTGTTGGGAGGGAGGGTGAGTCATGAGTGCCCCTTACACTTCTGAAAGGAGGACTGGGTAGGCAAGTGGGGTCCTTCCATTCATAGAACCATGAATCACTTCCTTGAGACTAGACTAGCATATCATCTGGCCCACTCCCCATCCTATAGCTTCGTGGGAAATAAGTCTTAGGCATTTTAAAGTAGAATTCAACATGAATTCTTTCATCAAAATAAGCTAGAGTTACAAAATGAGGTAACTAAAGTGGCACTATTATAATAACAGAGCTATTTCAAGGGTTATTTAAGATTGTGTGTACCAGTCTGGGATTTAACTACCATTTATCAAAGTGTTCTCTCTCAGAAAAATGGATTCAGAATTATAAGCAATTCTTGACATTTTAGGAATTTTAATATCGCTGTCTGTACATAATTTGGCTATTTGCGGTTGAATTCCAGTAACAAGTTTGACTCCTCCTTGATGACCACTCTGCTATGGCCCACAGCATCTATCTGACCAGGTGACCTCCTGGAGGGGTCCCCTAATGAAGGTATACAGAGAGAACAAAGGAAGCTACTGATGTTTTTGTCCCCAGACTCCAGTGGAAAACTAATGAGCTAGGATGGTGCTATAGAACAGTCTATTACATGTTTGGGTAGCCAGATGCCCTGGAATAAAGGCAGCCAAACACTCTATTCTTGCTGTTCTTTGCAAATACCAAATCTTGACTTGAGCCACTCAGACGACAGGAAAGATCAGGACCACTAGTAAAAGTAGAAGCGCCTTACTAGACAGTAATTCCCAATTCTGGGATTCCTGCTCACAAGCTTTCTCAGGTAGGACAGCCCCTAAAGAAGGGGTTCCAAACAAATCCATGTTGGACGAGACCTATTTAAAGAGAACTCGCTTCACTCTTCCAGAGTACTGTGATTTTTTTTTTTTAAACCACTTTAAAAGTTCCACCCACAGGACTAAGGCCCCAAAGCCCTAGAATCTGACTCACACACAGCACCAGTCCACCTGCTGGAGGGAGGGGCCTGGTAAAGACTGGGAGGGGAGCGGGATCAGAGGAACTGAGCTTCACCTCCTTGAAGAGGTCAATGTTACCTTGCTTTTGTTATTTCTTATTAACATTAAGAGTTTAATAGATAAGCCTTTAGTTTTCTCCACTGAAACTTCCATCTCTCTTGCAGAGAGAGAAAAAGGATGTTATCAGCAAAGGGTTGCTCATGCTTCCGTGGTATGACTCTTAAAGAGTTTCTACTGCTGTTATCTAATGGGATCACTGAGATTTAACCTATGTGCCTCAAGGTTTATGTGGTGGGTATTTGGAACCGAAGTCCAAACTAGTAACAAGGCTTTGCTTCTGTGTAAAGATCGTCCCAGAAAACGTGTAGGGTGAGGGAGCTCATCTGGCCAGGATTTGGGTAATCCCAAATCCCTGGGTTGTTGTTATAACTGTATCTCATTATTATGAGAATGGTCCACTGTCCAAAATTCATGGGAACTGACTTGTTTGGTTTGACTTACACCCAACATCTGCTCAAATACAGAACTTGAAAAACTGTACTATGATTTTGCTAAACTATTTTTTTCACATGGTTTTGCTTATGTGCATCACCATGCTGATGAGCATGGACTGCTTGGTGCTTAGAAAACCTACAACTTAGTACTCCTCTTTGAGATTCAAAGCTTATTGTAGGCTTGCCACAATTACTGACCCACAACCATGGTATACCTAAATGTTCTAATAATGATGAACACATACATAGGCATGGCTCCAAGTTCATGTGTGTTAACATGTTTAAAACTCACAGAAGCTCTATTGAGGAGGTATTATCATCCTTCATTAGACTGACAAATCCAGAGAGATTAACTCATCCACGGGTTAACACTGGGATATAACCCCAGGCAGTCTACTGAAAGACTATCTTTTTAGAAGATGTATACCGTAATGTCAAAGCAAGGATTTCTTCTGTATCATTTAAATACTTTCTACAAGGATCTTAAACATCCTTTTAGCTTGGTACAAAGGAAATGACTATTACCTTGAACATATAATTCCTTTTGGATGACTTGAACAGTTTTGTAAGGGAGAATCATGGGATAATATAAGATTCAGAGAGGACACTCACATCTCAGGACTCCTTCATATACATTGGTCCTCCAGCTAGTATGGCCACTTTTTGGATCTTATCTCTGCAAACTAGCATGGTCACTTCAAATTTCCCTGGTCATATTCCCCCAAAAGTCTTACCTCCTTTATGCTACAACTAAAAACATTTACATACTTCTATTATAATACATATTGTAATATATATGATATATATGATAAAGTACTAGGACTGTTGCTCTTATAAGAATGCAAGCTCTACAAAAGCCAATCTTTGTGGATGGGTATCTGAGTGCCATTTTGATGAGTGAGGTCTCTTGACAAAAAGCTGCAAATTATTCAATATCCATATTTTTTACAAAGAAGAAAAAAAGAAAGCAAAACAAAGAATAAAGAAGGCTAACCATTCCTTTTGTAATAAAAAAAATCCTTTTGTAATTTAAAAAAGTCTACTTACCTCAAAAGACTACAAGACTACAAAAGAAACAAGAGTTTATATTCTGTAGTCTTTTGAGGTAAGTAGACTTTTGTTTTGAAACCATGATAATAGCAGATTAGCCTTCCCAACCTAGGTAATTATTACACTAGACAAATTATTTGAGGCAGTTATTTTCATACATTAGCCAAAAAGTAGTTCAATAATGTAATCCCTAAGAGAGTAAAAACATACATGGTGAGGCCCTTGATTGTCTTTACTTTCTGGCTAGGAGGTATGGGAGCTAGAACCCAAGTAAGGTTCAGTGGTCTCATGGAGATAGGGAATCAGAGACTAAAATTCCGGGATGTAGATGTGGGTGGAGTCTGTGGGGCAGGATTATCGGTAGGAAAAGAGCTGTGCAGAAAAGGAGCATCAGAAATCCCTGGAGGGGGGAAAAAAAGAAATCCCTGGAGGAATCTCAAGTCATTGGTTAAATATAAGCTGTACACAGACAGGGAGAGACTTCACAAAACCTGGCAATAAACAATACCTAGGAAGCTATGACCTTGGCAGTAATTCAGAGACAAAGGAGTTCTGACAAGCAAGAAGGGGAAGATTTCTGAAATATCAGAAATTCCATGCCTTAGAAATGAAGCCTATTCTCCCCCTTTCCTCTGAGAAAGCTTAAAAACAAGACTGGGAAGGAAAATAACCTGCCAGTAACTGAACGACTATCTGAACTAGACTCAAGAAATGTCTAAAGAAATCCTACAAAATTTGCATTCTCATAAACATAGTAACAATAATATCCAGTATATATTCAAAAATTACTGGCCATTTTAAAGGGAAATGAGACCCATAATCAAGGGAAAAAGTAGTCAATATACACCAACCCTGAAATGACCTACATGTTAAGAGACAAGAACTTTAGAACTACAGTTAGAGCTTGAACAATGCAGGGGTTAGGGCACCAACTCCCCTGCAGAGTTGAAATGTACATATAACTATTGACTCCTCTAAAACTACTAATAGCCCACTGCTAACTGGAAGCCTTACCAATAACAATTAGCACATATTTTATATGTTATATCTATTATATACTATATTCTTAAAATGATCTAAAGGAAATGTTCAGAAAATCATAAGCAAAATACATTTACAGTACTGTAAAAATCTGTGTATAAGAGGACCCACATGGTTTAAACCCTTGTTCAAAGGTTGACTGTATATCCAGGGGCCAAAAAAGAAAATATCATATTGAACATGCAGATGGAAAATCTCAGCAGGAAAATATAAAATGAATTAAATGCAAATTCTAGAATACAAAGTACAAACTTAGAAATGAAAAAATGCATTAAACCCAAACACAAGAATGTACAACACCAAGAGTGAACCCTATGTAAAATATGCACTTTGGATGGCTATGATGTATCCATGAAGGTTTATCAATTTTAATAAAGGTCCCTCTCTGTGGGGGATGCTGATAATAGATATGCGTATGGTCCCTCTCTGTGGGGGATGCTGATAATAGATATGCGTATGGGTGGCGGAAGGGTTTGTGCGGGAAATCTCTGCACCTTTACCTCAATTTTGCTATGAACCATACGCTGCAATAAAAAAATAAAAATGCACCGGATGAAAAGTTCAGCAGCTTACAGATGGCAGAAGAGCCAAGAAATTTGAAAACAGATAAGTAAAAATTACACATTTTGGTGAACAGAGAAATTGGGGAGGGGAAAAAAAAAACTGAACAAAACCTCCATGATCTGTGAGACAATATTGAACTACCTAATATGTGTGTGACTGGTATGTGTGTAATTAAATATACTATGTGTGATTCCTCTTGGAGAGAAAATGAAGAAAAAATACTTGAAAAAGTTACAGACAAATTTTCCCCAAACTTTGGGGAACATATTAGAACAAACAATATATAAACTCTGGTTGCTTTGTCAGAAACAAAAGCAGGAAGACAATGGAGTGAAATCTTCAAAGGACTGAAAAAAAAATCTATGAACCCAGAATTCCATATCTAGTAAAAAGCACCTGCAATACTGAAGACAAAACACAGTAGAATTTAAAAACCATTAAGATATCTAGAAAAAGCGGGATGCCCCGGTGGCTCAGCAATTATGTATCTGCCTTTGGGTTAGGGCGTGATCCTGGAGTTCCCGGATAGAGTCCCACATCCGGCTCCTTGCATGGAGCCTGCTTCTCCCTCTGCCTGTGTGTCTGCCTCTCTCTCTCTCTCTCTCTCTCTCTCTCTCTCTTCTCTCATGAATAAATAAATAAAATCTTTAAAGTCTACAAAAAGCACATATTTTAGACATTAAGTAACCCACTTTTATATTACCCATGAATCAAAGAAGAAATCACATGGAGGATTAAAAAATATTTTAAAAGAAATAAAAGAAACAACATATCAAAGTGTGTAGGATGCAACTAAAGCTGCTTTCAAGAACACTTATAATTTTTAAGTGCTTATATCAGAAAATTAGAATGGTTTAAATCACTAATTAAATTTTTCTACCTTAAGAACCTCAACTACAACTAAGCTAAACAAATATAGTAAAAGGAAGGAAATAATAAAGATTAGAAATAAATGACACACAAACTAAGACGTCAAAAGCTGCATCTCTGAAACGAGTAATAAAATCAGTAGTTAGTAAAGAAAGACCTTAATGGCTAACACACAGTCCGTTTTTAAAACTATTCAGATCTGATGTTATGTAATTCAGAATTTCAGATTTTAGAAGGTTCTGTTTCAGATATTGTATATAATATCCTCAGTGAGGTCTAGGTAGCATGCTGTAATCAAATACAATATTTCTGTAGTGAAATCTACAAGTATTTACTTTTAGAAGGAAAAAGTCTAAATAAATAGCCTTATCTCAGTTGAGATCAGGTCAGGTTGTGATGGCAAAAATTCCAAAACAAATGGATGTTTGAGGTTTTTAAAAAGCTTCTGAACTGCAGATTTGCTCTTATGGATTTGTACTAAACTGATTACTCCTTACAGGTAGGTCATCTACATCCCTGAACACAGGACAGTGTCTCACTAAGTCCTAAGGGATGACTTTCTTAAGTAAGATCATAGGATGAATTTTTTTACTTCTACAGCTTCCATGACACTAGAAAATCAGAATATTTAGTAAAACTCAATGACCTTTTTTTAATGATCTTGCCTGTATTTGAAAGGAGGACATGAGACGTCCAGGAAATTGGGCTATTGTCAAAGAGGACAGAAATTTCAGGAGAAGCATATTCTCCTCTAACACAATTCTATAGTAAAGTAACAAATCATCAAATGTACAAACACATAATAGTAAATACTCATATACACAAAACTGAAAATATCCTTGGAATTCTATAAAACCAGCATTTGTATTTTCAATTTTAAAATTCCATTTTTATCAGGCAAATTCCACATAAAATATAATAAATTGACAATGAATAAAGCTTAAACCATATTTCTAAAAGTAATTACATAACTTATTTAAAAATAATCTTAGCAGATTTTGGCCCAATTCTCTAAAGATCATCTTGAGTTTTAGGGAAACCCACTTCTACAAGGCTAATATTTATTTATTTATTCCACCTCCCCCATTTTTTTAAGATTTATTTTAAAACAAGAGAGAGATAGTAAGCATGCACAAGCAAGAGAGGCAGAGGAAAAGGGGGAGAGAATCTCAAGCAGACTCTGCTGAATGTGGAGCCCAATGTGGGGCTCAATCTCACAACCCTGAGATCACAACCTAAGCCGAAACCAAGAGTCAGATGCTTAACCAACTAAGCCACCCAGGCACCCCCAAATTTTTATTTAAATTCTAGTTGGTTAACATATAGTATAATATTGATTTCAGGAGTAGAATTTAGTGATCATAATTTATATACAAAGCTAATATTTAATTCTCAGGAAGACTAACAGGAAGGACAGTAACAGAACAGTATTAATAGTAATAATTGCAGAAATCTCCTGTAAAGCCCATGCAATACTCCCATAGATGCTAATTGGAGCCATGCATGCATTAAATCAGATGTATGTACTTACTATTACTGCTACTGCTGTCATTCCTAAGGGAGCTGGCTGCAACAGGGGGTAACATAAATGGTTTTGTGACACTGACTCTGGAATCTAAATAGAAAGCAATAATGTGTCAGTGTTGCATGGTGATTTACATAAATCACAGAGTGTGCAAAAGGTTGAAGTGCAATACCAGAGTACTTTCAAGGTCTGCTTCCCAAATTCTGATCATTCAGATCCTATTTATTTCATAGTGGGTCCTGTTCTATTTTTATTAAGAAATTCGTCACAATCACCTTGTAGAGCAAAGATTCATATGCCTATATATGTTAATAAATATAAGTAACATGAATTGTTGGTAATTAGTCAAAAAAAAAAAAAAAAGGCAATGGAAGTAGACTTTGTACTACAGGGACCCTGTAGGAAAAAGGTCTCAATACAGAGTAACCAATGAAGATCAGAATTCATGACTCAGAGGTAGATCTTAAGGAAAAAGATTTGGAAAGGGGATATTAAGAAGACTGGAGGTGAAGAATAACATACACTACACAATTCTAGCAAATATCAGATAAAAATTATGAGAGACTATCTCCCATATTGTTTACCCACACACAATTCTTGTATTTGAAAATAGTGAGTGTTGCTTTGGTTTGAAAACCAACAGATCAAAAAAAAAAAAAAAAAAGAAAACCAACAGAGCAACCAATCACCTCTTTCATGCCATTGATATACATCTTTTTATTAGACATATACACGTACAATCTTTCTCTAACTACACATATATTTGAGTCAGAGGTAGATTCTTATCTATACAGCCAAGAATCAAGCTTGTTTTTGACATTTAAATTAGAAAAGCTTATATCTTACCTTTTTCAGGACTTAAGGTTGAAGAAACCACACATTCACTACTTTTAGATGCCACCGTCTCCAAGTCCTTAAAGGCATCGATGGATCTATTAAAAATTCTAAAGAATTCTTCAGGAGTAAAAAGCCTGAGTTCTGGGCTCTTAGGTGCTTTTTTTACATTCTAGAAGAAAACAGGATTATATTTTTCAGATACTTTATAGATTTAACTGATGTCAAGGTAGTAGACTATAAGTATGTCCCCCAAAGAGTCAAGTAAAATTAACACTTTTAAATAACTGTTTTGACACACATAATTCAAACTGGTACTGCAAGATGTGATCCCACCCAGTTCAGTGTGAGGCTTGACTCCAGATAAAGGAATGAAGTGGTGGCAGGGGTGAGTAAAGTGAACATAACATCAAAACAATGTTAACAACAAATTAAACACTGTTCTTTAGATATGCTCATTAAAATAATTATTCCTCATTAAAAAACAAAACAAAACAAAACAAAAAACAACCCTCTGTAACATATGCTCCAAATAGCCCAAAGTTAAAAAGTCTGATGATACTAAATACTGGCAAGAATATGGCAAAAAGAGGACTCTTATATACTGGTAGAAATGATATAAATCAGCACATTTGGTATCAATTCGTAAGGTTGGACATGTGCCCATTTTGTAACCCAGAAATTCCCCCTTTAGGTTGAATACTCTAGAGAAGTTCTTACACATATGCACCAGGAGATGTATAAGAAAGTTCTTAGCAGCGGTGTTATATAAACATTACACCAAACAACAGAAGAGTGGCTTAATATTGATATATTAAATCAACTCTATAAGCAGGAAAAACTTAGTTTCAGCTGTATGTATTAAAATAGATGTATGTTATAAACATAATGCTAAGTAAAAGAACCAAGTTTTAAAAGAATAAAGAATATGATTAATTTCTAGATATTTCCCAAGAAAGCAAACCAGAACTATATTTTAGGAATTCATACATGCATGATTACCTATAAAGAAAAGTAGAGAATAATAACACCTACGTAGCACTTGCTATGTACTACTCTAAGTGCTTTATACATATTAACTCACTCTCCAAAACAATGGGAAATACCACCTGGGTTTTGTCAAAGTGCCATGATTAGACTATGCCAAGACCTATCTTGTTATAGATGCAGTGTTCTAAAATAATAAATATATTTATTAGAATTTATTTTGTCAGATGTGGTACTAAGGCACTAATCACAAATCATCTAATGTCAACTCCATGAGATGGATCCTGTCATTGTCCTCGTTTTAGGCATAAAGAAAGTGACCACACAAAGGTTAAGTTCACAAAGGTAATTGGTGACAGAAATCAGGATTTGAACTCTAACACCTCATTCTTAATCTCTATACCTTATCAATATGCTTAGACCCTGAAGCACTGCCATGCCCACAATCTGAAGTTGGTGACAACAAGATCATCAAATGACCTGGAGATGTTAAAATGCACCTCATTGTTGTGACATGATTACTGTGGATAAGAGGTTAAGTCTAAGTGTTCATTATAGACTATTTTCCATTTAAAGGTAAATGAACACTTGTAACCTAAAAGGAACGTTATAAGGACTTCATTTATGAAATAAAGGGTATTTTTCTAAACGTTGTAGTGAGAATAAATTATATTTTTATGTTAAATGACAACATCTAAGCCTTAATGTATATCTCAGCATTGCAGTGTAACTAGCCACCTATTTTCTGTGCTCACCTTAAAAATATTTTAGTTAAAAATTTTTAAATTAAAAATTTCACAAAGACACCACCACCCCTGCCATCAACTGGCATAGGTCTTAGAGAAGAGTAGTAAAAAGCCATCCCAAAGAATACAAAGTTACCTCAAATGAGTATCCTTCTGTGCACTCCACAAGATCATCCACAATTTTCACAAGTTTGTCTATGATAGAATAATTACTCAGGCCTTCAGAAATATTTGAAAACTTGTCCAGAAGATCAGTCAAGCTGACTGACAACTGTTCCACCATCACGCTTATCCAACAATGACTAGGCTGCAAGAAATGGAAAGAAGAGAAGATAAAGCATCTATTGTAAATAAAGTCAACTTGGAACCCCCTTCTTCAAAAACATCAATGTAAAAAAAAAAAAAAGAGACATCAATGTTTCAGTCACTGCTGAACAAAGAATTTCCTTATATCAGAACAGGTCAGTTCTTGTGTTTTGTTTAATACATATTCAACATCTGCTTCAAAATTTGCAAATGAATAAAGACCTGAGCAAAGTATTGACAGTAAAGAATGTTGCTCTTCCATGGAAGTAAATTAAGACAGAGCCCAATCTTACCAAATCTTGACAAAGTTTGTTCACTTTACTCACAGTGTTCTTAGAAAAGCTTTAGGCACAGAGGGAGTTATATATATATATATATATATATATGTAAATATTATTGTAGGAGAGCGCCCCTCAAGGACTTGCAGTCTTTTGGTGAACTAGAATACTGGAATATGAAACAATGCATTAAAAATAGCTTATTTTTCCAAAGTGCCTAATACTTCAAGCCTTCTTCATAGATTTAATTCATGTGGATATTTAAAAAACAAACAGCCCTGGCAAGAATGTGGTCTGAGGGAAAAGCACTTTTTGCTTTAGTAGCAGGACCAGCTTACATAATTTGTGGGGCCAAACACAAAATAATGTATTTATTGTTCAAAATGAATAATTACAAGATGGTGACAGCAGAGCATTAAACCAAGCATGGAGTCCTGCCCATTGGTTTGAAGCTCAAATCTGTAGTCAGTATAACTGGGTTTGATTCTGGCTGAGAAACTCCAAACAAGCTGCATAAATTCTCAGAACCTCTCTGTAGAATGGGAATAAAATAGGACAAGGTAGCTGTGAGGAGATATTGAACGTACATATTTGAAGGTAAGTTATATGAAGGCAGTTTTTTTTTTTTAACATGGCCTAGAACAGTGTCCAGCATGTGAAAGTTGCTCAGAAACTATTTGTTCAACAGGTACGTAAGTGCATAAAAAAATGAATGAGAAAAAATACTCTTGTCAGGGGTCTAAGCTTTCTGTAAAGGGCTAGATACTATTTTAGGCTTTGCATGCCAAGTGGCAGAAATAAAGGATATTAGTAGGTACATTTATACAAAGAAAGCAATTTTTTTTAATTTTTAATTTTTTATTTATTTATGATAGTCACAGAGAGAGAGAGAGAGAGAGAGAGAGAGAGAGAGAGGCAGAGACATAGGCAGAGGGAGAAGCAGGCTCCATGCACTGGGAGCCCGATGTGGGATTTGATCCCGGGTCTCCAGGATCGCGCCCTGGGCCAAAGGCAGGCGCCAAACCACTGCGCCACCCAGGGATCCCAAGAAAGCAATTTCTATAAAACTTTTATTACAGAATTAAAATGTAATAATAACTGAATAAAATGTTTTTTGCATAATAACCAAATTTAATCTTTTGTAATAGAGGTCTACCAATAAGAATGAAATTCTTTATTTTGGGTCAACATTTTATGTAGTTGGGTTTCAAAGTATTCTCTATTATCAAACAGGCTGCAAATTTTCATCTGGAAAAACCAATCTCACCTAGCTGGCCATATAAAATCAGGCAGTGGATTGGATCTGGCCTACAGGCTATAGTTTGCCAACCTGTTATAAATGACTCTGAGCCAATAAAGGTTTAGATTATTGGGAAAAATCTCCTTGGTGTATTAGAATGGATTTTTGTATTTATTAAATTAGTGATTATTTAAAATAATTACTTAAAATAAGTTCATATACTTTGTATATTTTAACTTATGTTTTCTCCTATAAAGATCTTTTAAGTGGAAGCTCTGACTTTTTTTAAAACTCTGCTACAATGTAACAAATGAGAAAAACAAGACTGGGGATAGCTAGAATTGTTTTGGCTTATAACAACCTAAGTAATTTAAAATAACTCCAGCTGTAATAAAAATATTATAATCATAAGGAATAACTGATGCCATGTAAAATGAATGAAACCACTAAACTTGATTTCCCTTCTTACCAGCAGAATAGCTCTATGGGGGAAGGCCAACTAATTTATCCTAAATTATACAAGGGGGGGGGAATCTTCTATTCATTTAACAGAACAGTTTTAATTAATATAACACAGCCAAAAAGGAAAGTGGTTTATCTACAGATTGGTAAGCCCCAATTCCTGGAAGCACTAAATGTCATTCAAAACTTTCAGGAGTGTTGGCTCTGGCTTCAGAAAAGTAGAATAAACAAACCCCCAAATGGGAATTAGTTCAATTAGGCCATTTCACTCAACTCATCAAGCAAGTTCTCAAAGACTGTGTTTCCAAAGTATGTTCAGAATGGATTCTTTGTTTTGTTTAATCAGTGCTTATCTGAAGCACATGTAAGTTCACATTTGCATCATTCACAGGTCTCTTTCCAAAATGTCAGTCTTTCCTTTGGGGCTGAATCACTCTCCAAGTCTCCTTCCATTTAGGGAGTGATAATTCCCTTTTAGATAGCCCTGTCAGCAAGGGGTAGATTTCCTGGGATATGGGATACAGCACATATTGTAAATACTGTTTGAAGAGTATTTATACGGTAGGACAGCCCTCACCAATTAGTTCATTCCATTGCAACTGTGCAAAGTTTTCTGCAGCAGATTCTAGATGATAGTTTCTTCAAACTCTATCTTCACTTTATAAATGTGCTTGCCTATCCTCCCCTCAGATCTTCTGGCATAGAAGAACCAAATCAAATTCCCTTATTCTGAACTAAAGTACTCCTTTAGTTTCTGCAGTCTTGGTGCCTTAAGTAAGAAGGGGTTTTTAATTTTTCTTTCTTTCTTTTTTTTTTTCCTTTTTGTGGTTAAAGTAGAAAAGACTTTGTTTATAGGTTTATTTTTTAAACCACGGCACTCTGGGATGCTTACCGCCACCACTTCTGTTTATCTCTATTTTCAGGTGAACTCTGTTTGCATTCTGTATTCAAGTTCTTATTTAGCTATGGTGACTCTCTTTCAGCCACCCATGGTTCCCCCATTTTCATATACCTAATCCAACAGCGGAAGAAATCAACTTTTTCCAGCAAAATTCTCAAGTCTGAACTTACAATTTCTTACAGCTAAATCCTGGAAATCTCACAATCTAATCCTAGCCCAAAATTTGCCCTTTTAAAATTATGAAGACTTCACGGATAGCTGATCTGAACTTCTGTGCTACTATACTGCTGAAAAAACACATTTCTAAACATCTTGTAAATTTTATTTCATTTGCTATTTATTCTTGCCAAATTTCCTTGGAAGAAACTATAATCAATTCAGAGTTCTATCGTTTCAGTAATTTGCTTCAAGAGTTACATGTTAGGTTTTTAAAATTGTTAGACTTAATAAAGATAGATCTGAGGCCAAAAAAAAATTTTCTTAATTAAGTATCAGCCAGTTTTGACCTGTCTGCCTGTGAGAGAAGGCCGTTTTGACTAGATCATCAAGCAGTTTTGTATTTTCTTTTTAACTGAATATAGTCAATGATTTGCAAAGAGAATGAAATACAGGAAACTCAGTATTTCATTTGTGAAATGATAGATCTGCTTCTTGACTCAAGATTATGACTAGGAAATGAGTGATTGAAGGCTGTATGTTTCCCAAATGTAATTTTTCCCTTTACCTTAATAACAGGCATTATTGTCACTATTCCTTAGCTTTCACAGACCATTTTAAGCTCAAATGGTTCTGTATAAATATCAACTCTCAACATTTATCAGAAGAATGTAAGATACAAATAATGTTCTCTACTAGCGGAAGAATGTGAAGAATTAGGAAAAGTTGATAAAGCCACACAGGAGGCCAAAGAAGTGAAGTAAGTACCTCTCAAATTCTTTAAGTAAATATAATTTAAGGTTCAATTCACCTGCATATACATACAAAAAGAAATATACTCCTTGTTTTGAAAGGGAAAATCTGGGTTTTCCTAAACTCCAGACTCTCAATTTCTTATTTTCTTTCTTGGTAGCTTCCATCTTACATTTTCTGGGTTAATTTCAGGAACTCTAGCTAAGACTACTGGGAAAGTATGTTCTCAAGTCCTATGTAACATGTATCATTTTAGAATGCTATCTGAATCAAGGATTATGCATTGATAATTCTTGACCAGCTACCACGCCACCACCATTGAAGATTTGTTTAAAAGCTGTAAACTTCCTAAGAGATTTTAAAGCACTATGAGCAAGTTAATGATTCAACTAAATGATTAAATAAAAGATATAAAAACTACTAAAAGCATTTTAAACATAACTAGGAATAGGACTGCTTCCAAAGACCAATAATGAAAGTATGCACATTCTAAAACCACACCTAAATTTAAAATAGATAATATAGGAGTATATAAAATAGATATTATGTGATATAACACCTCTGGAGTCCCAGAAATGATACATTTGAGACTTGGCTGAACCTGTGTAGGTTAAAAATATCCTTGGGACTTGCTGGGTCTGGCATGCTTTCTCTTCTCCATCCCCTGCTTCATTCAAGAAATTGTTCTGGTTTATTATCTGAAAGAATTTGACATGTTATTCTGCATAAATCTTAGATGCAGAGGGAGTCTCTAAGAGCAGTCACCATTAGCTTTATGGAATTAGATGAAATTGCACAAAACGTACTATAACATTTCTTCATGCACACACTTGACACTACTCTCCATTTCGCAGCTATATGTAGAAATGCCTGTGTGCTTCCTTAGTTGGCCTAAGGTAGATAACTACATTGTGGGAATTCACTACAAAGGAGTTGGGATAATGTACCTATTAGAGATTCTTGGGGAGAAAAGCACTGACTCATAAACCATGAGCCCTCTGAGGAATATTCACAAGAAGCATGCATCCAGTCTTCTAATCCAACTAATCTAATTACCAGCATTATCGCCCAGTTAGATTGTTTTTGTTTTCTTTAATGTGTGTGTCAAACCTCAGTCTTGCCAGAATTAGAGGTATGAATGCCCAGGGCACAAAGCCTTCTTTTCTTTCCTCCTGTGCTTCCAGCATTTACCTCCTGGCTAAGAAATCAAA